TAATTATTAATTAATTTAATGCATTTCTGCATTGACACAAAAATTTATTTGAAATTTTAAATTAATTATTTTGATAGCAGTTGGACATGTATATACGTTTTCTTCAATAATTAGTTATAATAAAATTGCATAGCTAATACTGCCAGAAAAAGAAAACTTACAGATATTTTATCTGCCTAATGTCACAAACCGAGCGTTAACATGATCATGCTAATGCTTGTCAAATGTGTTGAAATATACTGTACAAAACTCAATTGTCTATACGAAAATATACTCAATACATTTTTCTTTTCATTTTCTGGTGATATTTTACATCGCTTGCACCAAGTAAACAGTTTGCTTTACAGTAATAATTATGTGTGATACTGGCTTTTGCTATGTAATTAATGTAGTTTGCTGTTAAGGCAAAGTCAATTGGCAACTCCTGTTCAAATAATAATGGCCTCGTTGTTAGACTTTGACCCAGTTCGAGTGCCAGCTCATGTTTAGCCGAAATCCGTCATAGAGCCAATTGCCATTTACAAAACAAAATGTGTCTATATTCAGCTATAGCTCTCTTGTATCTTTGCATCTCTTGGATACATAATCAAATGAGCCGGCTAACTAGAAAAACAACAATACGCACTCATACTCGCTCACAATATGCCCATAAAACGTTCGAAAGTCAAACTCGAAAAACATAAAAAAAATACGCACAAAAAAAGCGAAAAACAAAAAAAAACAAATTGAGTAAGGTTAGTAACACGAATTCGTGGTCATAAATTTTCGTATCTGTTGTTGATGTTGTTTTATTTGCTTAACATTGCGGCAGATGACGCAAAGGACAACAATTTCGGAGCTGATATGGTTTTAACCCTAAAAGAGAGGCGCGAAGTATATGAAAATTGCGCTGATTTTTGTGAAATACGCATAAAAAAATACAAAATGTTAACATTAAATGCGAGCATAAACTTGACGCCAGAAATATAATGAAAAATGAAAAAGAAAAGTGGAAAAAACTAAAAACGTTTCAATTAGACTCAGACAAGTCGGCAATTAATACTCTTCCTAAAAGCTTTTAGGTGTCTAATAATCTTTTACAAATGTTATTAACTAATAAATACGCTAATAAATGCTCCTAAGTTTTATTATTTATTATTTTTATATATTTATTTTATTGTTATCTCATTTTGACTTATATTTACAAGTTAATTAAAGTTAATCTTAATTAAAGTTAATCTTCTGCTCTTAGAACCGTTTACAAATAACTTAATGCCTACAAGTTTAGATTGTTATTGCTCGTAAAATTTATAACAAAAATTACAAGCGTTAGGTTATGAGTCATTTAAATATTATACCTATTTATTATATACGTTTTTGTGTAAAATTTCTTTTTAAAGACGCGCGCATGAATAACAGACAATATTGAAACTGTTATATATTATTTTATACAAAATATTCTTTATTTAATTTTGTTTGCCTATACTTCTGTTATATCAAATGGAGTAGTAATGACATTTTTACCAAAATCTTTATTTTTAAAGTAAAGAAAAACATTGCAAGCTTAGGTGTTAAATAACTAAATTGTAAATGAAATGAGCTGGCTAATTCGCTTCCTTATTATTTGCTGCCTTTTGAATTTAATGCCTTAACTAAATTTCCCAGTTCTCTGCATCCAAACTTCAAGGCTTTCAGCTGCATTGCAAAGACTAAATTTAATTTACCTCAAATTTTAGTTAATTTCAGAATCAAGTATATTATCAAACTGAGCATATAATTGCCCTGGCAAACTGCAATGCCAAGTGCTCGTACTCTATGCAAGTTGAAATTTAAAAAATTAAAAAACCCCAAAATTAAAAAAATAAATAAATAAATGAAAAAATAGTATAAAATAAGTAAAGCAACACCGAAAACAAAACAACGCCAAGGTTGAACCAACTGGTTGGCAGCAGCGAGCAGCGAGCCGGGGGCCGCGGGCAGCGCTGCAGTTGGCGTCAAAGTCGACGTTTAATGTTAACGTCGTAATGCCAATTGCTGTCGCGGCTGTTCCCAAAAATTGTTTGCAATATGACAACGATATACAATATACAATATACATATTTAAACATATATACACGTGTGTGTGTGTGTGTCTGTGCATTTGCAACGAATTTAATTTGCAAATTTGCAAATCTTGTGCAATGCTTGCGCTGAGTCAAGAAGCCCTGAGCCAAGCGATCGAATGCTTTCTCAGCTGAAAGAATATAGCTACGACGGATATATATAATGAGAGACGGGCATGGCCCCGCCTATCTAAAGTTGTTGCAACTGCATTTAGTGGGTATTTAGTTCGTGCAACATGCAGCAGCAGCAGCCGCCGCAGCCGCAACTATCGTGAATCGCTGCATTGGCCGACAGTTGCTTCCTTCTTGCTGTCACCAGCTGGCCACGCGGCTCTCCCTCTCTCTCTCTCTCTCTATTTTACGCTCCCATTTTATGTCTTTCTCTCTCGGTGTGTTCAATTTCGGTTTGTGGCATGGCCACTTCTTATATAATCCAGCAACAATCATTTCGGCCAAGCTGCAACACCAACAACAACAAACAGCCGGAGCAATCAGCAACAACAGCTGTCTCGGACTAGTTGTGCGCACTGTTTACATCATTTACTCTTTAATAGAGTTTTTGAATTTGAAACTTAAGTGCGATCTATGTAAGATAAGCATTTAATTTGATTTTGAAATCATAAATAACTATTTACTAAGCAGAAACTTGATTTTAATTTGAAAGGGTTTTTAGTATTAGATATTTGAGGTTGAACTGATGCCGGAGATCTTTCTAATATACAAAATTTACTGAAAGTAATATCCTAATATTTAATTAAATAAAATGTGTCTGATCTCAACAGTTAATAAAAAAAATTGAATTTATTCCTATAAAA